CCCCCCACAAACATCTTTCTCCCAGTGTTTAGTTCTCGTCGCATACCTTAAACGACTAAAAAAAATTTTTGTTAACCCACAAAAGATCAACGTGTATTTTAATTCATTTTGTTCGTTTTGATTTATTTTCAATTTTTAAAAAAGGCATTTCCTGTGTCATGGTGCCCGTTGGTACCACCAACACCAGGCGCGCAGAATCTAACCACAGCTACAACGCGTCATGCCGCATAGCGCAAACCCTAATCCATATTAGGGAATTATTTTGATAAGAGCTGCGCAGAGACCTAGAGCTGCAGTAGGCTTCGTTATAAAACCCAGACTTGCTCGGGCACACTGTCTCTCTCACTAAAGTCTCTGGTTCAGCTTCGACGACAACTTGTGCGAGCTTACATTTATTCAATCGTATTCTTACTTCTACTTTCTACTCGATCACCGCTAGATTTAGCAGCAGCAGGCCAGCGGATCAGATTTTGATCCATACTGTTAGTGAACAGCGAATACTTTGCCGATTAAGATATATTCAGGAAATAGCAAATTTCTTCGGTTTGAATTAATCTGTGTGACCACACAATTTATAGGTAAGTAAAGTTTTGGTAGATCTAGATCTAGATAAACCTATTTGAAATTGATGTAGATCTAGATTTGTGTAGGCTACGTTATAATATTGTGCTTGTAAGTTTACCAAGCAAAATCCAGGCCAGAAAAAGTCCTACAGAGAACCCCAACCAACAACTACAAATTAAAACGAAAGTCTGCAAAAGTTCCAAATAATCGAAATACATCACACCCTCCTTTCAGAGAGGGCAAAACATGAAGAATATAAGATCTGTATAAACTGATCCCCGTGCGAGGGCATCAATATTGTCCGTCTTAATTTTTTAAATAAATAGGCTACCTACCAACATGACAACATAAACAACAACAACTTATAGTATTACCCACAACAGACCGGATCTTTACTCGCATTTATCCAAACAAATCACATTCCTGTAATTATAATTAATGTGCGTGTGTGTGTGTGCGCACGTGTGTGTGTAAGTGTGTGTGTGTGGCGTGTGTGTGTGTGTGCGCGCGCGTGTGTGTGTGTGAGTGTGTGTGTGTAAGCCATTTGCGAGAAACATCTTTAGCCTAGCCTGTCATTCATTAATTTAATCTAAGCTTTTTCTCCTATTCCATCTAGATTAATATTTTGATAATCTTGATTACCAAACAAAACAAAACAAAACAAAACATCCCTGTTAAATGCAGTGAAATAAGGACCACGAATGCGGCATATTAAATCTAAGAATTAGGCCTACATTAATTTGAAGCATTATTTTTTTTCATGTGCTCTTTTTTACCTTTGGCAGATCCATAAGCTCCTGTTTGGTGCATGTGTGTTCCTTTACATAAAAATAAAACTTTAAAACAAAATTAATGAGTGGTTGGATATTTTTACTTTTTATTTATCTATTTATTCATTTATAAATGGTGGTTGTAGTAGTGTTGTTCTTGTTTTTGTTTGTTTGTTGTTGTTTGTGTTGGTTTTTTGGGGGGTGGGGGGGGGGAGGTGCTAGAGAAGTTTTAGAAAATAGGAACGAGTTTGTACTGTCACCACAACAACACAAACTTGATTGCATTTAGGAGAGCAACAGATCACTTAGGCTGGAGCCCAAACTGACAAAATAATAGTGTAAGCTATTTTGTCTGAATATTTTTAAAAAAAATAAAATTTACTCGCAGGAAGCCTAAGATTATACGTCATAAAAAAAGAAAAGAAAAGTAATTTTCAAAAAAAAAAAAAAAAAAAAGAAAGGGGGAAAGAGGAGAGGAGTACGGACAGGGTCCGTATTGACACTTTTCCATTGACACCTTTTCTGTTATTGACAGGTCTATCTCATATCTGGATTCGAAAGATTCCTTTCAGAAGGCCTTCCAATTCATTGATTAATAATGAAAGTTTATTATTAAAAATGTATACTCTTTCACCCAGCTACGACTGATGACGCTATTACTATCTATGGGGGAATCCCCTTGGGACACTGCGATTCATAAAGAGCATACACGCAGTATCTCGTATTGTTGTGTGTTCGTCTTCTGCTACTCGGACAAGGACGCTACTTAGCTAAGAATAAGTGTTTAGCTTACTATAATATGTAATATTATTCGCTTATATAACAATTGTTTCTGCACAGGTCAAGAGTGTGGAGGCCAATCTCAACCGGATTTCTCTGGTTTCTGGCAGCCACTGGTCAGTAACTGGGTACTGGTAGGCGCAAAGAGGAAAAACAGAGTGTGCGAGATCACGTGACAGTTTGTTTTGGTTCCAGCCAGAATCGACAACACCCACGCTCGCTCGAGGTTGAAACAGACAGCAGCAGTGGCAGTTGCGCACGAATTACAAACACTCACTGGGAGGAACAGTGGAGCAGATCGACTGAGCGAAGAGTGAAATTCCAAAATTCAATCCATAAGTGACAGCACCACAACGTCGTGTTGTTCCACCGGACCCGATGTGTCCCATTGAATACTACTCAAGAGCTTGATATTTAGCAGACTTTTTCCAGAATGGATGTTCAGGGAGAAACTGGTTAGCCAGGAGGCGACCAACGCAATAACAAAGCGAACAAAGCAACCAACACGAAAGTGATGAAAAGATCTATTGAACATTATATGATCTAACAACTGAAGCCAGTGAAGCCTTGTGACAAGTAAATTCTAGAAACAACAGAATTTCTACGTAGAATTAAGTGGGATTCCAGCCTTGACGATAGAATTTAGAATACACCATCAAGCATTGTATTACCCAAGATTTCTTCGTAACTTCGGATTCCCCCAGTCAAGTAAAAAAGCTGTCTGAACATAAATTCTGCAAATCGAGGTTTGTTTGTTAACAGTAATGATTTAAGCTTTTTTTGGTCATCTTATTGTGTGTAAATAATGATTATTTATTTATTATTTTTTGTCATCTTATACCTGAATTTGAAGTGCACTCATTATACTAACTGACACAAAAAACTAATTTAGACAATATATTGAGTATGAACCTTTTATCTATAGTCTATTGAGGCTAACTATAACAAGATTTAATAAGGTAGGCCAGCCATAAACTATAATGCTAATAATAATGTTAATAATAATAATAATGATAGTCCTAATTATAATTTAATAATATGATAATATGGCGTGTATAAGGCCCTATCTAATTTTAGACCAATGATTAATGCATTAAATCTCATATGGTTTTTAGTTTTTAGGCCTTTAAGTATATATGTTATACTGACCTGATAAGGTGTTCTAATCTTCCATTTTAATTTTAAGTAGCTTGCTCTGTTAAGTATGTGTATTTTTGTGTCCTGCAGGCTTTCAAAAATCTTGATCATCTAAGTTACAATAGGCCTATAATTTAGTTTGACTTAACCTTGCCACTGCTCTTCCCTATCTTTCAGGAATCATTTAAGAATTCACCTCCGTTTAAGGTACATGCAATTGTAATAGGGATAATATTATAATTATAACGCAGAATATTTTTTTTTATGTCTCATTAAAATAGTCCTGAATCTTTCCTTTTTCAGAAACATCCACTAACTGACAGATAGACATCAGTAAATCACATCACATGTTCTCGAAAAATATTGTGGTTGCAGACTATAAATCAACATCAATGGACACAATATTGTCGGTAAGTTATAAATAAACCCATCTTTTATTCTGTTATGATTATATGTCATTTGAAACATACTTGGGATGGGTTGTTTTTGTGTTTTTTTACACCTCTCATTGCCGTGTTTGTTGGACTTAAATAATGTGCATCCAACTGGACCAGAATTTCCCCTTCCCAAAACTTTGTTTTTTAGTTTGATGAGAAACGTTTACTGTCTGGTAAATGATGTCATTTAATTGTGGTGCTGGTTCATTTAAGTTAAAAAAAAGATTTGTCTCTATAAGTTAACTTGCTGATTTTATCTCAACATTTGATTATGTCCCTCAAGCTCTTATACCTGCTACTGTTATCTTGATGCTAGAGAATAAGAGCTTAAGATACTTTCTTTCATTTTTGTTGGAGTGTATCTTGTGTAGGAAAAGGAGAAAAAAATCGCATTTTTTGTTGAAATGAGAGAGACAATATTTTTTACTAAGGTGAAATTAGTTGTGTGTTGTTTTAGAGAGATCAGGCTTCAGTACAGCCTATAGTTTTGGTTTCTATTTTTACCACGTGTAGAGGAAAAGCAGCCCGTCTCCCAAATAATGTTATCATTCTCAAGCAGCCTCATGCTTGCTTTACTATCCTCTTAGATTGGCACACTAATTAGATGCAAGGTGATAGTAGACCTCTTAATATAATAAGGTTTTAGAGCTTTAATTAGACAGATTGTTCCTGATGTGTTAGAGGTCAGGGGAAAGTCAGATTAGGTCGCTAGTCTAGTGGTCTCAAATGATGTGTTAGTCACAGACATGTAAAATTTATTCTCCTGCTGACTGATAAGAGCAAATTGATGAATCAGCAAGTATGTCAGTTACAAGTTTGGGCAAGCCATGGAGACATATTTTGTAGAACGTGTTAGGCTGCAGTAGGTGAGACTTAGGTTTTTATTTGGAAAGCGCTATAGTTACATTAGATGACTTTACACTTGCATAGTACATACTATTATTTATATTATTGCCTAACATTTATTTATCTGGGTGGTCCGCTGTCATATTAAATTAATTAACTACACACGAGGAGATTAAAAAAGGTTTGGACAAGAAGCGTTGGCTTCACATCTTTACAAAAAATATGTTAAGAGAGAGAGAGAGAGAGAGAGAGAGAGAGAGAGAGAGAGAGAGAGAGAGAGAGAGAGAGAGAGAGAGAGAGAGAGAGAGAGAGAGAGAGAGAGAGCGCAACTGGACTGCGATCGGGAATTCCGGGGATTTTGTAACGTGTTCTGGTATTTTTAGAACAGTTTAGAGGTCAAAGCGGAAAATTGGAAATTCGTATTTTTAATACCGTCTCATCAATCAATTAGTAATTTTAGTTTTGTTGAATTTACTGGGCCAGCCTAACATGGTAATGTAACTCCAAATGCATTATTCTTCTTTGCGTACGTCAGTATGATGTACTAAAAACTATGATAATATTAAGTAGCTGTTGGTGATTTGCGAAATGTTTAAAAAATCCGGTGTATTGCAATCTTTCAATGTAACGTTATAAGTTTATTTCTTTTCGGTGCACCCCTCTTGCCCTCTCGATCCAGATTCCAGTTTCTTTGCTTTCTTACAATGCACGGAGAGGAACTGAAATTTAGTCTAATTTTTTTTTTATTGTCTGAGTCACCATTACATAACAAAAGCAATTGATATTATAATATAACAAATGTAATGTATGTAACCTGACATTTCCCCGAAACTTCGCAAGGACGAATTCCATGTCCAAGTTCAAGTCAGGGTAGTGAAGGAAACCGCAACTTTGATAACACATTAGAATCTATGTTTTGTGTCACCGAGTCTCCGAGTCAGGTGATAGGCCAATGTGTAGTGTAGGCTATGTTGTGTGATAACTGTGTCCGAGTCCGACGGTCACGGGTTACGTTACTCCTCTAGATCTGGCCGTCCTCGTGTGCTCTTGTGACATAACATTCTAGGCCTGTTGTGGGATTTAGAGATTTGATCGTCACATTAGCTGTGTTATGTTACTTTTTGTGAGCAATGTGACACTGTGACTGATTGTGACAGCTGTGCTGAGCCTGAGCTGACGAAGTGGAGGTGGGGCGGAGGTCCAATTTAGACTCTAAAATCGAGGAATGTCAACAATACCAGTGCTCCAACTCCTAGATCAAAGCGATCCAGCTGTTGATTCTGCTACTGTTAAAACTTGATGTTGATCCAACGACAACAATGGCCTATATCCCATGATTAGTATTGGTACCAGCAAGGAAATGGTTCCAGATGAGAGTTTACTGGTAGATCTGGCTGTGGCGGCAGTGCAGGAGGTGCCGGATGGCACAGGCACAGCACACAAGAAAGAGCCCAAGGAAAAACAACGAAGCATATTTGATGTAAAGAAAATTTATCTTTTTGGTATTTTTTTACTCCCCCCCC